TTTTTTTTATTAAGCTCTAGAAACTGTTCTAGACACTTTGTAGAGCAGTAAAAAAAAAAAAAAAAAAAAAAAAAAAAAAAAAAACTCCTATGTATTTAGTCTTTCTAGAGCTTACATCCCAGCATGTAAACATTTGTGTGTGTGTGTGTGTGTTGCTGAATTGTCTCCCTCCCTCACCAAACACCAACCTATTTGTGTCTTGCAATTGACTAACCAGTACACTTAACTTTCCAGCTAAAAAACAGTGACAGATGGTCTATAAACACTGAACTTCTTGGAAGTCTTGAGCAATTTCACAGCTGTTAGAAGGGAAGTTTACAAGTCAGAAGTTAGTTGTAGGAAGAGGAAGAGACAGGATAGACAGAATCCTGGAAGCTAGTATCGGAATTCAAAATGACCTAAGTCAATTGAGGAAACAGCCAGAAGCAAACAGAATAGACTTCTGCAAAGATGAGTGAAATGCAGTGCAGCAACAGCAAAAAGACAAAAGTACCTTCACATGTGGAAGATGGAGGAAGACAGCTTCTGTCCAAGTTTTTAGTTAAAGGATCCAAGCACTGGCAGCAAGCTGTTGTTTATGTTTGTTTTTTTTCTGCACAGTGAGTGCCACCATTCAGATGTATTATAGAATTGCTTAGTGAGTGTTGACTGTAGGAGCCATATGAAAATAACTCCTCGAAAAATCAAACTTATTTGCCATGATAGGAAGAAGGACCTCTTGAGGTCAATGTCTTTGGAAAACTTCACCTTATTTTAGGTGAATCAAATGAGGGATAATAATTTGATTCTCAAAATATATTTCTTATTCTTTTGTACTAGCAAATCTCTAGAGTTTATCTGTATCTTTATACTTTTTGTAACACATTATCATCACATTGAACTTCCTACTTCCATCCTTATTGATGAAGCCTTTCCTTTAATTATAAACTCTGTAAAATTAAAGCTGGTTTCAAATGTTACAGGAGGTATAAAAATGAGGGACAGACAATAAAAACAGCCACTGATTTTTAACTAGTGATTCTTCATTTGTTTTTTCAGAAGAAAAGTTCGTAATATCGGAGATGAAGAGGAATGTGCATGTTGTTTAAAAGTTTTGAATTATTTCTATGTCTGTATGGCTTTAGAAAGAACAGTAGGTGGATAGCTGATGAAGGCTACATGTCTTTCATTAAGGCTTCAGATCCATAACTGATTCTGAATTTCACTGAGATTTGAGGAAGAGACCAAGCCTAGAACCCAAGTGTCAGAGACTGAAGATTGGCCTGTATTGTCTATCTTGTATGGTAACGCCTACCTGCAAACCAGTAGCACTTCTGATGTGTGGCCAGCCTTTAAAGCTTAGCAAGCATTGAACAAAAATAAAATCAGTTTTCACCCAATTTCTTTCAAATAAAATGAAATCCTTTCATCTTAAATTATTAGTTTCAGTAATCGAAGCACTTTAAACTACATTCAAAAATTAGAAAAATGCTTAGGACTGAAAAGAACTTTATACTGGGAAAGATATAATCAAATGGATTATCTATAAAAACTTAAATACCTTCATTAGAATTCGGCTATGAGGGCTGCGGTTGTGGCTCAATGGTAGAGTGCTCACCTAGCACACGAGAGGTTCTGGGTTCGATCCTCAGAACCACATAAAAATAAATTAATAAATAAATAAATAAGGCATTTTAAAAAAAAGAATTCCGTTATGAAACAATCGCTTTTTGTTATTAACACTTTTTTCCTTATATACTTGGCTTTTTATAAACTGAATGATAAAGATATCAAGTTATCTGCTTCTTGCTTATACTTCTTTACACCTAGAAGTGTTTATTAGTAAGCACAAATAGTTTCTTTTACATCAGTACAGAAACGCTATTCATTTTTCTACATAAATAAGAAAAAGAAATATGTTGAATTTTAAGCTGTATGTAGCAAAGCAAAAAAAATGGTATGAGATCTTTTTATTGCATTGTTCAATTTCTAATTATTTCAAATTAAATAATGTATAAATATAGAGAAATGCAGACACAAGCTCTAGCCATGAAAATCTTCTTCCATTTTTGATCTTTGAGGGTGTATATTTGACTGATTTTCTATTTTCAAGTTTTCATGTGTTTATTTTGAATTATACTTTTTGCTTAAATACTTATTTAAAATAATTTCAGAAAGGAATTATTTGTATTAGAAAACTAACTTTTCTTGTGCTTGAAAAGAACTAGAAATGTAAATATTAGGTAGCAAATACAATTTATTTTGTGTAAACCAAATGCTGCCTCAAACAATTAAATTTGCATAACAATCACAATATAAATCTTGAAGATCTACAATTTTCCATTTTTTTTATCTGAAAGGCATTGGAATAAACTTTAATTTTTTTTTCTTATTAATATCCCATATTTGTCATTTATCAAGGGAAAGTAATACCCTGAAAGACCTATTACATGACAGATAGAAGATCTGCCATTGCACTACATAAGAACACTTAACTAAGTGTATTTTACAACTTCAGCAAACAACTATTAAACATTTAGTAAGTGAAATATTTTGTACTACTTCCATGCTAACTCTTTGCAGGATATACAGGATATGAACACATGCATGGCTTATTTCTTGAAAAAAAATGATATTTTACGACTAACAATTTGACAAGATGTATTGTCCTTTTAATCAGGAGGTATTCACTTTCCCAGTTTTTGAGATTAAAATAATTTTTAGTTGGCCAGTAATGTTCCATGACAAAGAATTACAATTTAGGAATGATAAACATTGCTGTTGCCAAATAGTCCCTTCTCATTTTTAGACATTTTCTATGAATGAATAAATTTTGTATTTTACTAACACAATACCGGCCATTTTTTATTTTGAGATATTTGTATTTAGATGCAGCTGTACAGAATAATATTGAGAGATTATTTGCCCTTTACTTTGTTCCCTCAATATCTTATGAAACTCTACTATAATATCACAACCAAGATGCTGATCTTGATATAATCCACCAATCTCATCCAGTTTTATTCAGCTTTATTTGTAGTTAGTTGTGATAGTATTGAGTCTTATGGAATTTTATTCATGAAATAGGTTGCCATGGGCGCCATCATCAGATACAGAATAATTTCATATTTCTGTCACTACAAGGATGTCACACATTACCATTTTATGAAGACTTACTTCCCTTCTCCATCTTTAACCTTTGTGAACCACTAATCTCTCTTGTTTCTGTAACTCTGTCATTTCAAGAATATATATCTATAAAAGGAATTATATAGTATGTTATCACTTGGGATTAGTTCTTTCTTCTTAGTATAAATCTTTGGAGATTAATCTAGCTTTTTAAGTATATAGTAATGTATACCTTTTGATTGCTAAGTAGTTTTTCATTATATGCACCTGCTACATATTGTTCAGCCATTCATCAGTGGAAAGAAATTTTGGCTCCTTCCATTTGGGGGCTATTTCAAGTAGAGCTGCCATGAACATTCATGTGCAAGGTTTTCTATAAAGATAAATTTCTATTTCCCTGGGATAAATGTCCAAGAGTACAGTTATAGGGTAATATGATAATTACATGTTTAGTTTTATGAGCAACTCCCCAAACTGTTTTCCTAAATGCTATATTGTTATATTACCATCAGCAAAGTAGGAGTGATCCAGTTTCTCTGCATCCTTGTCAACATTTAATATTGTCACTATTTTTATCTTAGATGTGTTGTTGGTTATTGTGACTTCATCTTCATTTCCCTCATGGCTAATAGCAGTTTTTTTCATGAGCTTACTTGCCGTCCATATATCCTTTTACTTGAAGTGTCTCTTTATACCTTTGGACCAGTTTTGAATTGAATTTTATTAGTTCTTAGTGGTGACTTTTGAGAGTTCTTTCTATAGTCCAAATAATAGTTCTTTGTTGGATCACAAATATTTGTAAATTTGTTGTCAAGATAGCTTATATTTTCATTCTCTCACATATGTATAACAAAGATCAAAATTTTTGTACCTGCTTATGTTATCTGGTTATCCCCACAGAATTTTCTTTTCTTTTCTTCAGTCACATTTTATTTATTCATCACCTAACATAAATATGTAGTTCTACCTATCGTGTTTATAAATGCATGATTATATGTAATAAAACTCTTCCTCCGATCTTTTGATCTTTTGTCTCTTGATTAAATGACTTTGAAGGATGGAGGGTTGCAACTCATACTGATGGTGTACTGGAAACTAAGAATATCTGTCCACAAAAGGATTAAAGACTTTAATTTTGTTACTTTCCTATGCCAAAGTTAGAACAACAGTTGGAAAATGGAAAATGTAATTATATATGTGTGTGTATATATATTGCTTGATAGCATAATCTTTTATCTGAAATAGTTTAAAATAAAGTCTATATGACTTTTTACCAGGCTAATTATATCACTCAATTAGTATGTTTATTGTGGTGTACTAATAAGAGTGATTATATTGTATTTCCATTTCAGTTATTCTGTATAGAATTTCTAAGAAATGTAAAATTTTTCTGTTGTGTCAACAACTGCTCTCCAAATGAGTGTTTGATCTTAAATGTTTCCTTTTATTGTTTTTTACTTTCATTGAAAACAACTCAGTGGTTGCTGAGAATAAGGAAATGTGTTGTTTCTTTTTGCATTTTAGCTTTTATACTTTTTTTTTTGCTTTGTGTTTTGTTCGTATGAATGACTGGATTTTGCTTTTTTATTTTTATTTATTTATAGCAAGCATGGGAATATATTCTTGCATACACCTGGGGAAAGAGAGTACCATAAATGTGGCCTAAGCAACACTGTAAATCATTTTTTTTCTTTCCCATTGACTCAAATACGTGTACATTGTTGGAAATGTGTGCTGCTCTAGTGACATATTTTTTCAGTTTAATTAGCTGCCTGCCTGTAATCAGGGCTATATCAACTGTTGTCATTCTAAATGTTTCCTTTCTTTTTTTCAAACACATTTGCCTGATTGACCTTTTTTTTTTTCTCTGTCTTTCTATGGGGCTGCTCCAGGAGCCATGGCTAATCATCTTATAAGCAATGCTCTGCTTCGTCCGCATGGTACTAACAATCCCTATAATACATTGCTTGGGGAACCGGCGGTCTGTAACAACCCTTCTGTCAGCATGTACAACGCACAAGGTGTGCTGGAGTTTATCTTAATTTTTTCAAGTGAGAGTCCCATTTTATGTAGCTTTTATGAGCACTTTCTAGTTTCCTTTCTCCTGCCTTTTCTTTGTTTTGGAAGCTGACACACAGACTCCTTTACATTCCACCCCTCTTGGTGCTTTTATTTTCCATTTTCCTTAGGCTTTCCTTAGTAAGAAATGGATGCCTTCTGATAAACAAATGCCTTATTCATTCATATGTGTTTGTTTCTCTGTACTGTTACAAAATGTATTGTGGTTTGTCAGTACTTTTCTTGTTGTTCATTTATTTCTAAATTAAATACCTGTGTATTTATTTTGAGAAATGAGATACGTGTCTAAGGTAAGTAAGATAAAAGAAGACTTGATTCAGTAGTCTTACTGTTATAAGATGGAGAAAATAAATCTTACTTTGTTAAATCATGAAGTACACTCTGGGCACAAAGCATTAGTATTGATGAAAGCATTAGATTAACTCCAGGGAAAATTACATTGAACTAAGCAGTGGAGGAAAGAGCAGTGAACTGGACAGTAGCAGCTCAGGTTCTGTCTTAGCTTTGTCATCGCCTACACGAGCTGGAGCAAGCAAGTCACAAAATTATTTCTACTGTAGGCTACAACTCACTTGAAACAAGGATTTTGAAGATGGCTCCTCTGTATGCCCCATCTTGAAAACAATACAGAAACTTCACTGTGTTTCAAACAAATAAGCATAGGTCTTTTAAAAAACAGCTTACACTATAATTATGTGGACATGGTTTTACTTTTTCTAAGTATACACACACACACACACACACGCAAACATACATATGTAAACTCTTATGAACTCCTTGTTGATTATTGCTATTAAGATTATTAATTTGTTATATTAAGATTATCAAGATTATCAAGATATATTGTCTATATATAAATTATCATATATATTATATATGTGTTTATGTATATATGTAAATAGACCATAAATCATTGAAATAGAAGTTTCATTAAAGAAACATCTTACTTAAAATTATATTTGAAAGAAAATTCACTGTAATAGGTATGTCCATGATTCTTCCAGTTGAAGACAGTAATTGAGCAATATTTAAATTACCCAGGAAATTTGGAATAAAATTTCTATTATCCTTTATGAGCATCTCTGGTGGGTTTTTTTTTTTTTTCTTCATTTTTCTTTTTTTCTCCTCTTTCTTTCTTGGTCAGAGGTAAAAGATTAGTGGTGTGACTGTAAAACTTGGTGTGAATGGGCCATTTCAGAAAAACATGTTTGTTGCAGCCTGGCCACTGGGCGTCTCGAATCACCTGAGCTGTCCCACAGGGTTCCTTGTCAGATACAAAGGATGATTTTAAAGTATTTCAAAAATACCAAAGTCATTTATTAACAAATGACTTCAGGAGTATGTTCAAGATATTTGTTTATATGATGAAATAATTCAGTAAACTTTCAATTTCATCGTTTCTTAAAGACTCCATGTTTAAGAAGCATAGACTTTGAGAATCAGAGGAAGGATAGAGTTCATGAAATGCTGTTTATATGATTGCTGACACCCTGTAAGACCGAGCTTGAAGTATCTATTCTAACAGGGCTCTTACCACCTCCAGATCTCATATATTCTATTGTTGAAATGCTCTGCTCGTTTTTTACCCATTTACGTATATAGAGATATCTAGATATATTCCTCTTACTATAATGCCTTCTTCTATTGCTTCTTGGAAATCCTTGAAATACTTGAAAGCAGCAAACCTATTTTCCTTTGGTTTTCCATATCCCTACTAAAACTGAATCATCAATATGAGAGTTTCTGGGTCCTTCTTCATGGTTACTCTCTATATATTCTCTCATTTATCAGTGTCCGTATTCCACTGTAGTACTCTACGAATGGTACAATACACAGTGCACCAGATGTGGTTAGGCAGAACAATTTAGTAGACCTTCTAAGGGTTTATCTTGTCTTTATTATCCTTAGGTTAAGTGAGAGGTAAATGGGTCACTATAAATATTTTGAAGTATCCTGATAAATTAGTAATTTTGAATGATGTTAAATGAAGATTTAAAATATTTGCAAGTTAAATGTACTCTACATTATTCGCCTTACACAGAAAAGTTGTTGGTAATTACTTTAAAATAATTAACAAATGTGGATTGCATTTTATTTTTCTTTTTTTGGTTTTCAGAGATAATGTGTCATTTCTTATATAATGAAAAAGTAACGATTATTAATTTTTCTGTTTTCCTTATTTCACTATCTGCCTTCACATCTTTATTTTTACTGGTATAACCAAAACAAAGGGAGGATATTTTTAAGGTTGAACACATACCTATCTAAATTATTAAATCAAAATTTTCACAGACAAAAAATTAAAATACCATATAAATACAAAGTTTTATTCCTATGGAATCCTTTATTGGTTATTACTCACTACGATTTTGTCTGAATGGATTTTTCCTAAATTCCAGTTTAAAAAATTCTATTGACTCCTTAAAAATAAAAAGTAAATAATTTTATTAATGTTTTTCAGAGCCAGAAGTGGAACTGTTCAACTATTATGTTTTAATAATTATCAAAATGTTAAGAAACCATGATAGTGCTTAAAATAATTCTATTACCACTGACCAAAAATAAATCTTGATGATTGTCATATTGCTGCTAATCTTATGCTTTCAGATGAGTGCACTTATATTCTTACTGGCAAGGTGAAATCTTACATGAAATATAGTTGACCTGGTATGTACTGGAGTGGTTTCTGGACTGGTTTATGTTAAATTACCACTTGGTTCTGTTCTATGGGTTCTCTACTTCAGTTGTACCAGTGCTATCCAGGCATAGAAATGTTCAGATTTAAAGCATCCAATCTTGTTTGTAATGCCTTTATTTATGTAAAGATGTGTATATAGTGTTACTACTGAAACATATAAAAATAAAAGTGAATAATATACTTTTATTATGTTGAATTCAGCTTCCAACTGTGGAAATGTTTAAAACTTTTTGCATAGAATTTCTGGACCATTATGTATTTGTCAATATTAGAAATTCAATTTTTGTAGAGATAAACCTCATTATAGAAAAACCTGTCAACACAATGTAAGAGAGGAAGTCGTGATTTTTGCTAAAATAAATTTACATCTTAAGGTAATTTAATTCAGTTCTAAAACTTTAAAGAAAGACATATCTCTAGAATGGGATATAGTGAAGAATAAAAGTAAGAATGCAAGGTATTCCTTCATGGTTTTCAAAGCCTACAGCAGATTTATAGAGAAAATTGCAGCAGAGTTGAAAGAAGTCTAGAGACCCCTTTCTGATCCCAGCTCTGCCCTATTAGCAGGGAAGCATTAGATAAAGCCCAGCCTCTGTGCACTGTGGTTTCTTCATCTCTGAAAAATGGGAATTGAACCTCAGCGATCTCTTTTATGTGGTTCTAGTTCTAGTATCCCTGTATTTAAGGAGTGAACCATAATGAGCCTACAGGTATTTACCTCTGTTGATAAATAGCTTGTCTTTCAAATTGTTTTTCTAAAGCTGTTTTGAAATTTGAAAAAAAAATTTCCTCTGCTTTTTAAAATGCTGTAGGTCTTGTTTTGCTAAGGAAAAAAAAAACTGTCTCCTTTAACCAATGGTTAAATTATAACAAGTTAGAATCCCTCGAAATGATCTAGCCCAGAGAATTCACTGGTCTTTGTTTTGTGATATTTTAACCATCCTGTAAACAAAATCAGTAAGAGTAATTCTTCTGACCTGCTTAAAATGTGAGTTTTTTTCTAAAAAGTAATTTCACCAGGATTGTTTTCAAAGGATCCACTCCCAAAATATTTGATTGCATATGATTGTGCAGCAATCCAGAAGAAAACCTGATATAAGTGGTGATTTATTCCCCACACATTTTCTTGATACAGAATAAATGGATTTAGCCTTTTTTTTTTCTGTAGTTACTCCACTTCTGGATAGGGGCTCCAGCAATGACAGTACTGATCAGTTTTCGATTACAAATGATAAGCAACATTTTTGTAGGTACAATGAGGAAAAATAATGTTTGTGCAGAGAGAGAGGAGATATATAGGGGGAAAAAAGAACAAGATTATGAAAATCTTCAACTAGTATTTTTCTGTATCCAAAATTTCCTTGATAATTTCATTTAATAAATTCTAAAATTATATGGCATTCCTTATGAGCAGGTGCATTCTAACATCATACATGTGACAGTATTGAAATCTAGAGGTGGAAATAGTCCCTGGCTCACCTTCTTTTTATTCTCTGGTTTGTGTGATAATCTTAATTGTAATATAAGTGTGTATTTTGTTGGAAATTTACAAACTGTATAATGCTTATTAAAGACTCATTATATTGGAATATGTTAAGGGGGACTGCTTATTTTCTGACTAACATATCAGTATTTTTTATTATGATAAACCATGTAACACAGACTCATGAATTTTGGGGCAGTGGAAATTATTTCCTTTGACTCTTTTTTCTGCATATCATCAATTTGCTTTTTACTCATGTTTCCTCTACTGTCGCTGTAAGCTTACTTGTTGTTTTTTCTTTCCTTTTCTTCATGCTGTCGTTTAGAGCCCTACAGAGAGACAAGTATGGGAGTAAAGCTAAACATTGCATATCAAATGTAATTTTTTTTAGTTCACTTTTATTGCATCACATATAGATGATGTAGTTATTAAAAACAGTTCATCTCACAATTTAAAAACTAAAGAGCCTATAAATCAACTTATATAAATATATGCTAATAGAGATTAGACGCTTTTGTTGTCTGATTCTTTTATTCTGTCACATAATCAACATGGTTGTTAAGTCTCATGTAATGTTGGTGTGAGTTAAATTGTTTTTAAATTAAGCATTTATTTTTGCTAAGTAATCCATAAACTTTTAATTTTTATTAGTACATTCCATCATAAAAGTGTGTCATATGCAGCATCCTCACTTTATTTTACAATGGCTGTTTTTAGTCTCTGCCTAATGCATTGACAACAGAAATACAAAAGCACATGTTTCAATGCATCAGCCATGCAACCCTAACCATCAAGCATCCCATCGCAGCCTCTGCAGCCACAGTCACCCATCACATACAGCCCTTTAAAAGGCATTTACTTTTTTTTCTTAACATTGTGGATTTGTGTACAAGATATAACATGAAAATAAATCGCTTCAACCTATGTCTGTGATAGCTGCTTTTTAATGCATTTTATGCATTGCTATTTTTTAAAAACAGTGTTTCTTGAATACAGAGCGTGCATCAGAAGTTCATATAAAAATTGACATATGTGACTGTTCATTTAAAGTAGTATTGAACTAGTCAAGTTTTGATAAATGTAACTGCATCACAGATATAGAATGACTGCTATATTTTCACAAGTTAGCAGCATATTGAGAAGTTTAATAGAATTCTTTGACTAATTTTTTATAAAAGGAAATACCCTTCCTTATTTACCAGAATTGGTTAAGTGTTTGTGTGTGTTTTTTCTTTTGTGGTTGCATTTGAATTGATTTAAGAAACTATTATAGATTATTGAATTTGTGTTCATTCAAGGGAATGCTAAAACCTTGAAGAAATATGTGGTCAAATTTAATTCACTGCAGCTGTTTCTACCAGAATAAAATGTTTATCCTCTTTCAAATCCAAAATTTAATATGCCCCAAAGTCTTCACTCATTATAAAATGGTAACAGTAGTATTGACGACATAATTTTGGGAATCAAATCCCTATTTTTACACTTTCTCATACAGTATTAAGTAATGACCCTGAATAATCACTAAGGGCCTAATATGAAATAATAACCAAAGTGCTTAGAGCAGAAAAAAATAGAAAGTAAATCCAAATACTTTTGAAAGTTCCTAGTGTGTAAATTATTTTGGTGTGCCATTTATTTGACTAGCATTATTTAATGACTATATCATTCTGACAAATTTAACATAATCCTTTTGTGGTTTTATGTATAGGGATTATTTAACTAATCTATTTATTTATCACATTCATTTACTTATTTGGTAGTAAGGACTGAACCCAGGGGCGCTTTATCAGAGAGCAAAATTCCCAGCCTTTTTTAAAGTTTTGTTTTTTTTTTTTTTTTTTTGAGACAGGGTTTCGCTGAATTGCTGAGGCTAGCTTCTCTTGCGATACTCTGGAGTTACTGGAATTATAGGCATGCGCCACCACACCTGGTTTGGGATTATTTTTAATTTCACAAAATTATATATTAAATTATGAAAAACTATTTCTTTTACTTTTTACTAGCATATTGAATGGACCACACATGAATTATGTTAATATTGTAGCTACTTCAATAATAAGAGAGCATGTAAAATGAAAGGTAACAAATTATTTAATTGACCTTGATGGCTATAAATTGAAAGCTATGAATGACTACACCAAAATTTTGTGTTATTTTGCCCATGTTATAACCAAACATGCTTCAAATAATGTCAGACAGTGTGTGAAAATTGCCAATTTATAATTCATAGGTTTTAAAAAAAAATTCTTTTGAGATTTATTTTAAATACTTCTTTTCCAAGATTTTGATCAATTGTCCAATTATACACTTATATTTGGTTATATACAGTTAAATTTAATGTTTTTTTCCTGGACATTTTAGATTAAGTTAAATGCTAGCGCTTTTTATTTCATAGTCGATAAATGTTTTGCTTTTGTGTTTGTGTGTGTGTTCTATGGCCTATTGGATATGAATGTCATAGTGTCTTGTAATCTTTTTCAGAGGGGCTTCTGAACAATGCCAGGGATACAAGTGTCATGGATACTCTACCACTGAATGGTAACCATGGCAATAGTTACAGCATTGCCAGCGGCGAGTACCTGAGCAACTGTGTGCAAATTATAGACCGCGGCTATAACCATAATGAGACCGCCCTAGAGAAAAAGATTCTGAAGGAACTCACTTCCAATTACATCCCTTCTTACCTGAACAACCACGAGCGTTCCAGCGAACAGAACAGGAATCTGATGAACAAGCTGGTGAATAACCTCGGCAGTGCAAGTGAAGATGATGCCATTGTCCTCAATGATGCCACATCCTTCAATCATGAGGAGAGTCTGGGCCTGGAACTCATTCATGAAGAATCTGATGCTCCTTTGCTGCCCCCAAGGGTTTACTCCACGGAGAACCACCAGCCACACCACTACAGCAGAAGGCGGATCCCCCAAGACCACAGTGAGAGCTTTTTCCCTTTGCTAACCAACGAGCACACAGAAGATCTCCAGTCACCCCACAGGGACTCCCTCTATACCAGTATGCCAGCACTGGCTGGTGTGCCCGCCGCAGAGAGCGTTACCACCAGCACCCAGACCGAACCCCCAGCGGCCAAATGTGGTGATGCCGAAGATGTTTACTACAAAAGCATGCCAAACCTAGGCTCCAGAAACCACGTCCATCAGCTGCACACTTACTACCAGCTAGGGCGCGGCAGCAGTGATGGATTCATAGTTCCTCCAAACAAAGATGGGACCTCTCCGGAGGGAAGTTCAAAAGGACCTGCTCACTTGGTCACTAGTCTATAGAAGATGACACAGAAATTTAAAACAACAAAACTGCTAACACCTTGTTGACTGTTCTGAGTTGATATAAGCAGTGGTAATAATGTGTGTACTCCTAAATCTTTATGCTGTTCTCAAAAGACAAACAAAAACTCTTTGACTTTTTCTTTTTCTTTTTTTTTTTTAAACTGGGATTTTTAGGTCAGCCCAGGGGAGAAGGATAACTGCTGAAATCCCCCTGTGCCCTTTCCTTTCTTGTCCTTTCCCCCCCCCTCAGATGGAGACTTCATTATGTTAATGAACGAGATATGAAGAAAATGGCGCTCATTGTGGCCTTGTTGAATTATGTTGTGTTTGTTTTAACATCTCTGATGCTCTGTTACTATAATTACAAGGACCTTATTTTTGAAAGGCCAGAACAATTGTTTGAAATTAGTAACAATGCTGCATCTAGATTGGAGTGCTGCACAAACAAACATAAAAGTGAAGCAAAACTGTATCACATAGTGGTTTATGGTCACTCACCACCTGTTCACCACAGCAGGAATAGCTGTGGAAAACAAAACAACAAAATTAATAATGAAATGGAGGGGAATTCTAGAATTATATGCTAAATGCATATTTTATGATTTGCTGTATTAACTGATGATAAAACTAATGGCAGAAAAAATTGAACAATTTCTATGTAATGTACAGATACTAGCATTGCACATATAGTCTGCTTTCTGTTCCTCCAGAATTTGAGTCCTGTTAATGTAGTGGGAAAAAAAAAGAAATTTTCTTTTTCTTTTGTGCTAGTCTTGCAAGTTTGTCTACCAGTAAAAAAAATGAAAAAAAAAAAGAAAAAAAAAGCAAAGTTTCCTCCTTTTTTTTCCTTCCTTTCTTCATTTTCTTTTTCTTTGCCTCCCCCCCCCCACTTGTTTTCTTTAAAACTTCACCTGGGAAATAAATAAATAAATAAAACTATCACTTTATAAGAATCATTTTCTAGTAATGCAAACAAATTATTTTTTACAAAAAAGAAAAGAAAATAAATAAAATTAGATTTCCTTCCCTCACTATATATCTTTATCCAGCCAGAAGATTTCCAACAGCATTTTTGCAAATTAGAGCAGGATGAACTTTCATGTTTACAGGGCACATCTGTTGTAATGCAAAGCATATTTGGCAAGCAGTTCATCACCAAGACAGTAGCTATGATTCTAGAAGTCAAGAGGTGTCTATAGGACTAGTGGGGCTTCTGCATGTGAAAAACGGTATTTCATAGACGATAAAGTGCTGAATGCTCAGTCTGGCCCCCAAGCGGGCACCTGCACTACCAAGTTTTAGAGGAAATTCATTCCCTGGTAATAAGAATTGAAAGGTCAAATAATTTTGAAGTGATTTTTTTTAAGTCTTCTGTTTATTAACAGGAAAATTTATTTATTTGACAGGATTTTAAGTAATGTAGGATACAAGAGGTAAATTAGCAGCACATATAATTTTTTTTTAAAATTTATGATCCATTTTGTATGGTCTCAAAGTTGGATGACCTCATTACTAATATTTGTTGTAAAAGTGAAACTTGTTTGCCAACCAATAAACAACTGATTGAGATTTAGAAGATATTGTATTGATGTATGTACTATATTATTAATTTTCCTTTTTATTTTTCTCGCCTTTCTTTCCCTCTATTTTCAGTATATAAACTTTGCTAACCCTCTGTGACCCACATAAGCCATGAAAAAGAAATCAGTCTGACTCAACAAATAACCTAAGCACAAAATGATAATCAGTTTTGCAGACAAAGTCAACCAGAAAATGGGATGGACATCTTTATGTTGTCTAAAACAAGATGCATTACTTACACTCAAGCAGGTTAACATATAGGTTACTGTATGCCTATTTATAAACCCGCTGTAGTTACTATGCTTATTTTAATAAACAGATGCAATCAGAGATTCAAATATCAAATTACAACAGAATCATTATTCCTCTTTCATAAGCTCCATTTTGATAAAGAAAGAAATTTAAATTTATTCCATTGGCTAAAAGCTGCAAGAATCATGGCAAAGAAAACAACATTTTTAAAGGGCACTATAAACCATTTTTTTGTGCCATTTTTTCTTGTTATAAAGGAGGAGAGAGGAGGGGAAAATAAATCCTTTCAAAGAAACTTTCTTGATCTTCGATTACTCCAGATCCTTTTCCAGCAGTATTCAACCATGGAGTTCTTTCTAAGCAAAACTACGATGAACTTGCCAATTCATAATTTCTCTTGTTCTATGCCTTGGGATTTTATTTTTCAAAAATCTACATGCCATCCACCTATAAATGATTGTCTTAAATCAAAATGATAAAGAATAGTGTAGAGAATGGCCAGTAATCCATACATAGTCATAAAATATATGACAAAAAAAAGTTGTACTGGTCAGAGTACATCTTAACTGTTTTATCACCATAAAATATCTTATGTCTCATTTCTTTTTAGTCAATTAATATAAATGTTTCCTTAAATTGGAGGAGTACCACAGGCTTCAGCAGTAATGAGGTTTCCCTAACACCACACAGTGGCCATATTAGCACCTGAAAGGTGTTTAACTCACTTGATGCCTAGATTATATGTGGCCAGAAAAGAACCCTTCTTTAACATGTAAAACATAGCTCCAAAAACACACATGTTGACTGTGGATTGTGAACACTTAAGCTTGTTGTGACAAACAGTAATCTGTATGGAAGCATTTCTAAGTAAGAAGCTGGATTCACAGAACAATGGGGAGACTACCTCAATTCAGCTTGCTGATTTTCTGATATTGCTACCTCCTTGCTTGTGATCTTTTTGTGTTTTATTATATGGAAATTTGAAGCAGGAAACCTGCCCAGCTCTGCATAGACCAAGTGGAAGAAAGATCACTTGGAACACCTTAACTGGTACAGAAGTCTATGCAGTATAATAGGTTAATACCAAGCTCTTGCATCAAGATGAAAGTGTGAGATTTTTTTTTTAACCTCTCCTCCATCAAAATTGGTGTGCTTTCAGAGAGAATTAAGTTCCCAAAGATTTTGACAGGAAGAGATTGTTCCTCCGAATTTGATGTGACTATTAATGAAAACAGTGGATAAAGTAGTTAATTGCACATGTATTTCAATAGAAATTTGCATAAAATGTTATTCATTTAGTCCTATGTACACTAGCAAGGGTTGAATTCCTGAACTTCAATTTTCCCCTCAAATGCCTTTTTCAAGCAAAGCTACTGATGAACTAATAATTTAATTTTTTTCTTTTTTTCTATCACCTTTATTGACTCTGTTTTCCCAATATTTTATGAAATTCATGATTTACTTATCTGAATATTTTCAATGTAGTTGGTTTTCCATTAAGAAGTAAATTTCCATTCAACATACATAATGTATGTGCATAGCACATTATTTAGCCAGCTGAAATTAAATCTAAGTATTGCTTCCTAGTAAAATAATATTTTGTAATGTTTTATTTGAATTTTATTTTTTCTTTGAAATCTAATTCATATGATGGTTTTATCAGGACACTAGCTAATGGTCCTCATGTTTAATTGATTTTGAAACTAATGGACTGTTCTACAGCATATTCCTAAATGATAATATTTATGATGAAACCCAAATTTGGGGAAGAAGAAATAGATTAAAATTTCAGTTAAATTTTATGAGCATCCCTCCTTGTTTCCATTCTATTAAAATTGAACTACTGGAGTTGAATGATAAAAAAATATGCTAAAATTATCATAATGACAAAACAACTGGCATGAGAACAATTTTCATAAAAGGAAAAATAATAAGGAAACTATATTAACCAAAAGCAAATAATAGAAATCCCCTTAACTTCCTGTAAAAAATTCACAATGACTCTAAATTGAAAGTTTATGATCTGTATTTTTAAGATTCCCAATATGAAAATATTGACATTGAAATGATCTTTAAATTTAGATATTTAAATTTTAATATTAGCTTAGTTGATGTGATAAAATTTTTCATAATAATGGAGCATATAAAGGAATTGGTAACATTTATAAAGATCCATATAATTAATTTTAGGCAATATCTTCAGCTATATGTGTTCAATTCACTGACTAGTTTAAAGATCAATATCAAAAACTTTTGTGACTGACTTTCTGCATTACTGTATAGACCAAAAGAAAAGAGGAAAAACAATGTCTTGAGTTGTCTAAAGATCAATTCTGAACTAAACTATTGTCATCATCTATTAATGAAAGAATATTTGTTAAATTGTTCATTAGTACTGTATCAAAGTGCTACTATTTAGAATGTTTTTGAAAACAAAATAAAACACTGTTGAACTACAAATGCATGTCAATTCAACCTCAGCGAATGAAAAACTAAAACAAAATTTTAATCTGGTTTTGAGCAAATACGAGGATACTGGTATGAATGGCCTTTAACAAACATACTGAGATAAAATAGCAATATGTATGAACTTTCCAGTGTACTACGTAGCCCAAGGTATTAAGATATAATTAGTTTATTTTTAGCAATTCATAAAACTCATCATGTCATTGTTATGCATTCCTAAATAATACATTACATCTCATATTAGATTTCTGCACATTGAAATGTTAGAAAGGTGGAGGCCCAAATGCAAAGCAGCATAAGAATAGCTTATGGAAGTGTTTCTGTGCAAATTAATTCTACATAAGAGCTCTTCTTTGAGCTCATAAAATAGATTCAAGAGAATACAAGAGTACGTTCAATTTTGTAATAAGAAGATACGTCTATATCAAACCATCTGAAAAATATTATTAGACATCTAACTATATTATATATATATATATATCTCCTAGAAATGAAAATGTTGATAATTGTTTCTTTCTTGTTCAGCCATAAGACAAAATTCTATTTACTACTTTACTGTGATCACATCCTCTTTGCTTTAAAAGGAAAACCAGTCTTTAACGTTCACCTGTACACATACTTACAAATCATAATTCCTTTTATTTAACTTTCAGAGAAAATGAATCACAATTATTGCAAACTTTGTGATTTTTATAATAAGACAGGTGGTTAATATAGTTTTACATATTCTCATTTGACATATTTATTTTTATTCTTTTAAAAAATTGTTTAAAGTCAGCACTTCTTTAACATCTAGCACCTTTAAGTTAAATGTCTTGATATCAACTATTTGGATATTTCTTTCTCTTAATAGTGTTATCTGCAATTTTTTCATTGATAACTTGTGCCTCTTTAGAGTATGTCAAAAGTAAACAGCAAACCATTATTCATGTGAAAAAGCAGGAGACTGCATATAAAAATGACTTCTGTTGTGATAAACAACACTTTTCAACTACAATATGAACAGATGAATAGAACCAAGTTGCCAAGACCTAATTTAGGTGATAAGACCTAAATGAGAATTATACAGAAAAGGCTTTAGAAAAAATAACAAAATCATATATCTTGATAAAAATGTTATATACTATACCAAATGCTGATTTGTTCAGAAAACATTAAATTGGAGTTTACCATATTATAATTTCATCCTGCTAATTCCACAGAAAACACTACATATTTCTAGCACTATTTAGATATTTCGTGTCTAGCTAAACCTAAAAAAAATATATAAATGTTTAAAAAATATAAGTATTTTGCCTCAATTCACCTTCATTTTCTAATCTGCCGACTCAATAGTACAGCAACACAGTTGATGCTACTAGTAGGTTTGTACCTTTTAGAGCTTTATTATGAATCTAATAAGCATTAAATTAATATTGAAATTATGTATGTTGTACAAAGTAACTCATAATCAAGCAATATTCATATTAAAGGATAATTCATTATACATATGAATATTACATTAAGGCTGAAAAAATAAATATACTACTGGAAATTTTACTCTCAAATCCTCTCTTCAATTACTACAGTCAATTGACACAATTCTGCAGGCAGTTGTGCACATGGTGGATTATTAAAATACCACATAATCCAAATGCATCTAAGTGTATTCAATGTTCCTTTCATTCTAAATGCTAAAGGAAAAACTTGAAAGAAGAGGAAAGTTGACTTCTAATGATCTAATTTAAACATTGTTATTCAGATTGAATAATTTTAAAATGAGAATGCTACACTATTTGATCTGAGGCAGAGGTTACAAAAAATTTACTTAGGCAAAAATCAGGATTTTACATTTAGAGGAATTCAGATGGTCTCAATTGCCTAAGATTGCAAAAATTCACACTCCATTGGAAAGGAACTATCTTTAAAATCTAAGCCTAAATATCACTTTTTAAAATATAAAAATTCCTCCGATTCTTCTGACAGAGGAAAATGATCCTGACCCCAAAACGAAATACATTGATTGATTAACCTCAAAAGGTATTTGGCAAAATTAGTGTATCAACTATAATATCAGGTAGAGATTGTTGGAATTGAAACTCAGTATGCAGTGAGGAGGATGGTGTCCTCATGTGCTAACAACTGCCTGATCCTCTAGAGTGTATATTTAATGCCTTGCATTTCAAGTTGTCCCAATGGCTTAAGCTTTGACATTTTGAATCATTTAAAAGTTATTTGATAATAAAAATTTCCTCTGTCATTCTAGTAATAAAAAGTGGTATGTTTTGAAACAGCTGTAGATAATCAGATGTGTTCATTTATAAATAAATCTCATTTGTTTGTATATTCTAACACTGACCTTTGCCTGTGAACTACAAAATCAAGATCTGTAGAGTCAGGTTGATTTCCTCATTTGGCTTCTGTGAATGCATTGGAAGTGGACAGATAATTTGGAAGGTTTTTCATACTGTTTTCCCTCTCACCAAACATTTAATCTAATTCAAGATATATCTTTTAAAAAACAATAGTATACTTAAAAAAAAACTACAACTAATTGAGCTATTCTTCACTGACAAGAAAAAAAATCACTTTTCAAAACAAAAATCTAGCTAATGCAGCTTTGGTCTTTTAGGATTCTCATATATTTCCACACAGCATTATTCTTATCATATACACCTACCAGATTTCAAGCTACTGGATTTTTTTTTCTCTTGTACAACCTTTTCATCCTTAAAAAAAAAAATGCTCTGTACAATCACATGTAAAACCATGAGCTACAAACCTCAATAAAAAAAATCAGTAAACAATAAGTGATGTAGTTACTGTTATTGTATGGGAATCACCAAAACTTTGGTTTTTGGATAATGTTCAAACAACAGGATAATTAATACCTGAAATATGTACTCTGAATATCTTTCCTGTGCCCATGATCTTCATGCCCTGCCACCTACCCCTTCATATATTGAAAATAAAATGTAAGGACTTTTTTTTTAACCTTTTCTTTTCTGTTACCACCTGAAAAGTTTATAAGGGTATTTGTCCTTTATGGGAACATAGGAAATGAAATTAAGAATTTACTGTTTGACCTTTAAGTTTGCAATTAATAAGACATAATCAAATTTAATCTTGAATCTCCTGACTCATCTTATTATCCTTATCTCATATTGGGGAGTAGTGCAGACATCCTCTGGTCCAAAAGAGAATTTGGAGCTCTGTGCTGACATTTTTCTCTTGAATAAAGGTTACAAAAAATTCTAGAAAATATTTTTAATCAGAAGATAGATATTACATACAAGCAACACTCTGTGGTGTTAGGGATTCTGATTATTTTATTTATTAACTTTGTACATCGGCACAATGAGTACAATATCAGCTGGATAAATTTAACTCAGATACTTCCTTCATATTGAAAATACACTTTCTACAAAGGAAGTGGGAGGGAATCAGCAACTCCTGAGAGCCAAGTATGTGTCTGGCATTTTACATGGCCCCATTTATTCTTTAGTAATATAGCAAAAATAGATTTATTATACTGTTTGGGAGGAAAAAAAAACGCTCAGATCCCATAGTCACAGAGCTAGTGAGTTTTGAAACAAAAACCTCTCAGTCTAAAGTTCATTTTGTTTATTATTAATCATACTGCATCAACAAAATGATTAGCTAAAAAGAAATTAACCTATTGCTTTTCATTTAAGTATGAGATTGAAAATAGACATTTCAAGCCAATGCTGAAAACCATGAATCTCAAAAGTTTATGCAAACCTATTTTACTAGGTAGTAAGATGTAAACATAAAGCTGGGTTCCTGGGAAAAATCCCCACAGATATGAAAGGATAAAGGGGGATAGACATAGAGAAAAATCTTTTAATCTGTTATTTATCATCTATCATTTATCTATCGTCTATATCTATCAATTAAAAAATTCAGACAACTGATTTTGGAATTCTGCTTCTTTCATCAGTTATATATCTTCCAAAAAGTTATTTAAGTTTTCTAAGAATAGGGTTCCACATATCTAAATATTGAAATACAGTTTATTAAATGTGATATATAATGTATTAGGCACACATAAAATCTTTATACCTAAAATTCTAGAAGTTTAGAATCTAGAATTCTAGAATCTGTATTCTGAGTTTACACTAAATAGTCTCTGTTTGTGTCTTGTTGATTCTGTTAGTTCCTCACTCCCAATAATGGTTAAATCATAGTAATATTATTCTAAATTAAAATTTTAAAAGTCCTACTCATATATATGTATATATATATACATATATATTATATGCATATACATAAATATATATGAATATCTCCAGCTCATTTTATTGTCAGAGTGCTTATAATACTGTAATACTGTTTCTGTAATATATATGTATAATATTGTAATACAGTTTCTTAGCCTTTATGAACCCAGTTCTTCACAATTCAATAGTTTTACAAACTGTACTTCCAGTGCTCTGATGCAACATTCTATAATCTTTATTCAGCAGATAGTATCTGATGGTAAAAGATGGGTCTAAGCTTAAATATATTTGGGAGGTATAAGACAAACACATTTTTTAACTGTAATATTTCAGAGAATGCATCACAAAACTTCAAGAGCAGTATATATTGTACTGCCTCCTAAAACTATTTGTCCCTGAAATCCTCGAGGAACCGGAACAGTAATACATTGAAAATTTAATGATTCATGAAACTCAGTTGGTGAATTCTTACACAAAACATTTTTGCTACCACTGAGATTTTTTATTTTTTATTTTTTTTAAAGTATAATGCTGGGCATGTGATTCTTTCAATATTAATTGTCTTTGTAAGCATGACAAAATGTTATAAAAGTACTTCCACTAAATGTCAAATGTCTGCTCCAAACTTTAGGTGAAGAAAGAAAAATTCAGATGAATGCTTCTATAATTTAGATGAATTCTGCCCTAACCATAAAACCTCTTTATTTTAATATAGCTTTCTGTCTTCTAGTATCAAATATCTATTTGTTTGCAGCAACTTTTATAAACACAGGTCTTTTACATAACACCTTTGGTTCTCATGTATAAAGTGCATAGGAATTACATGGGAATTTTATTAAAATGCAAAGTTTGATGTGTGTTCTTCTGGGGTGGGTTTGAGGTTCTGTTTTGCAATCAAATGACATGAACGTGTCTGTTCTAGCTACTCTTAAATCAGCTTTTTCCCCCTGCTTTTAGATACCAGGCAATATGTTACAGGAAAGAGAAGCAGAATATCTAGATGCTGTTCAATTTTATCAAAAGGCAGATCTATTACTATTTTTGAAAATAAATAGAGTGGATTCTCAAAGTTGGTAATGATCACAATTGTATGGGAGCTAAAACCATTGCTCTTTTACTGTTCATTTTTTAAATATATTATTTAGTTGTAGATGGGAACAATACCTTTATTTTATTTTTTATGTGGTGCAGAGGATCAAACCCAGTGCCTCACACATGTTAGGCAAGCATTCTACCACTGAGCTACAACCCCAGCCCCTCTTTTACTCTTCATTTTAGGTAAAAAAAATGACATGGGAAATGAGGAATATATATATGTATGTATATATATATATATATATATGTATATATGATCTATATTGTATATATACATACAATACATATATTGTTCATAAACATACAATATACTAAAGTATATGCCCTTTGATTTTGCTTTTTATTTCTTAAACTTAACATCTCAACTCACATTCTCAGGGAGTGTTTAGCATCATGTTAATTTCCATTATTCTATTGTAACTAATTAAAACAGATTCCATTTATTTCTGTTGATGCAGAAAAGATGAGAAGGAACAGACTAGAATTAAAGATTTAAATACAAACTGTTTTTAAGCTTAGTTTTTGTTTAAATTTTAAAGTAATTTATTATGCTGTTTCTCTTTCCTTTTGATAAACTTTACAGTATTTTACAGCTATATATAATAATATTTATCATTATAAACAACAATAACCAATAACATTATTTGGTTTTAAAAATTCAAACTGGAATAATATTCAAGAATGAGGAATCAAGATTAATTCTTGACCCTATGAAAAACACAATAATATGGTGCTATATTTTACTCACTTGTTTTGAAAAGAGGATGATTAAATTTATCTCCCTATTTTTAGGTGTTATTGTGATGGTCAGTAATTCTTAGCCCTTGCTTCATTAGCATCCCCTCTGGCATATCGGAAAAGAAGTCCAGGCCTTACCCCAAGGGGGTGGCATCTAGATACAAGTAAAATTTAAAGGCCCACAAGTGATTTAACATGCAGTTTGAGTTAAGAACTATAGACTTAACAACTTAATAAATATTGGTTAAGTATTTGCATCAATTAGTTTAAGTAGTCTCAAAATAGTTTAAAACTTTACTTTAGGAAATACATGTAAAAAAATCAAAATGCAGAATTTCTTTTCTCAGATGAGGTTGCTTGATTTTCTAAATATGTTTCACTTTCTAATTTTAAAAATGATTAGTTTATTTTTCAAACAAAAATTAATTTACTAGCTCATCTTTTTCCATTATTTAACTCATAGAATAAAAATTCTTGTTCAAACTATGTTTCTATTACCATGGGGGGGGAATCAATGAATATTAACATAGCAGAAATGATTGTTATTAATTTTAAATCAAGTAGAATTCACAGATACCTATCAGGAATTATTTTCATGGAACAAAATTATCTTTAACCTTTCCCTGGAAGTCTGACTTATCAGACAGTATATATCTTCGCAGTATTCAGCCAAAAATTCACTCTTTGTAAAAGTGAATCACCTATAATTCCAAACAGTGAAACTATAAATCAAATGGTCTTCATTTCTTATTATTCCAGATGCATAATATATAATGATAATTCTAGGGTTTTTAAATTCATTTGGTAGTCCCAAGGACTAATCTCTTTCTCTGAGATACATCCTCAGTCCTTTTCATATTTTATTTGAAGACAAATTCTCACGAAACTGGGCAGACTGGCCTGTAAACTCATGATCCTCCTGCCTCAGCCATCAGAGTCACTGGGATTACAGACATAAGCCACCAAGCTTTAACATGACTAGTTTCTTTAACATGACTCTCAGTTTCGTATTTAACTTCTGTAGGCCGATCAATTACATTCTTCTTTTTAAGTGTTAATAAGCTCAAAATTTTAAAAAGAATTGGTTTCTAAAAGTTGCTTTAAACAAAAATGTTTATGGAGGACTCATGGAAAATTAGAGTAAAATCAACAAAAGTCATTTGATAGAATAACCGTTTCTGTTGGAGTCTCATACCTGCTAGCCTTCTTCAATTTTTAG